ACGAGCCGAGGACTGTAGTCGCGGCGGTCTTTGGAGCGGCCTCCAAAAAGGATCGGCTCGCTCGGCTCAACCGCCTTCGCCCATTTACGTGGAGCACTTGAGGAAGAGGAGGCTTGCTCACGCAAGTCCAGCGGGAAGTCCTTTCCGGACCCTGTCTCGTACCGCCTGCCTCTGTAGACAGGGGTAGTGCGCTCCGCCGGAGGGGCGGCCGGCTGGCCCGCCTCCTTCGGGGCAGGGTCAGTCCGGGCGACCTTTCGGCCCGCCTCAGCCTTGCACTTAGACGGCCGCTGCGCAGACTCAGAGCGGTCCGCTGTTTCACCGCCCCTCAGACTGGGCTTCCAGGCTGCGCTGTCAGACGGCAGCTTGGGCGGTGGGCGAGAGCCCTTGGGAGGCGTCTTAGGCTGCTCAGAGCCACGCGACTTCGCCTCCTGAGCAGGCTCTGCTGGAATGAGCCCCTGCTCATCATCTGTATCATCCTGCACGAGAGTAACCCGCCGGGGCGACGCTGTCGAGCCCGCCACACGGGGGCTCTTGGCAGGAGAAGTAGCTGAAACAGGGGGCGGAGTAGGCCTAGACGACCAGCAAGATCGCCGTGTGCGACACCACCAGTGCCCGCCGCCTTCGGCGTCGGGACAGGCGGCCCTGCAGGAGAAGCAGCAGCGGGAGCAGCCGTTCCGGCCGGAGTAGCTCCGGAGAGCGCACCGCCGACACTTCCCTTAGCCTTCTTCGAAGGCTTGGCAACACTTGCCTTAGCCTGCGCAGCCGAAGAAACAGGGGAAGGTGGCTTGGCCGTAACGGTCGAAGCCTCCGCCGGAAGGGGCGACAGACGAGCTGCCCGCCGCCTCCGCGACAGGCTCGTAGCTGGTCTCAACCCCAGTGAGAAGCAAGACCCTGCTCCCCTCCGTGAGGTAGGGGACAGACGCAAGGTCCAGATGCTTGATTTTGACCAGCATCCTTTGCTGGTTCGGGTTTTGCAAACGCCAGGCACCGTCTTTCTGGTAGACGTACAGCGCGTCCGCCCTGTCGCGGCGGATGTCGCCCGCAGACGGGGGCGGAGCAACCGCTGCCGGTGCCGGCTTCGGGGTCTCTGGGTCAGCCAACCCTACGGGCGGTGGCTTAAAAACCACCTCAGGCTCCGGTGCCAAGTGAGTTGCACGCATGCGCAACAGGCACTGGGTCCGCGACTCAAAGATGAGCCCGCAGGACGAGCACGTCCATGTGCCCTCGCCTGTGGCCATTGGCCCGCCGTGGCTGCCCAGGCCTTCAGCAGTGAATGCCCCCGTGATCTCTTCCTCCGCGCTGCTCTCTGGCGGAGCAGCGCTCGAGGACGGACGCCCGGCCTGCAAGGCTCGGCGA